AAGCTAGATCAGGGGCAGAGCACAGGCAAGAGCTTATCATGGTTGCTCTTATGAGAACTCACTGCCATGTAAGACTCACAACATCAATAGATGCAGAGGCTGAAGGTACTCCCTTCTTTTTGGAAAAAAAAAAACATTCCCAGACTCACAAGCAGGCAGCTTCGACACAATTTCTGGTGGATCCTCACTTACTGGACAATATGCCATCAGCACGGAGAAACTTGTTCAAAGTAATTATTCCTCACCATTACAAACTAGCTAGCGGTATTCCCCACTAAGTACTCTTAAACTGCATGCTTCTGCATAGTGGTTTTTACTTTGCAGCCTTATGGTTTTAGTTTTTCTCTGAGGCACAGGCACTAAAACGTTCTATTATCGAAACCATGGACTACATACCAATTGACATGGTCATCATTTGCCACTGGATCCCTCCCCACCCCCTTAATCCTGCTGGCAAATTTGTAAGTTGAGCCAAGAATAAAACATGCTAGCATTGCATCCCCAGTGGTGAGATACATAAATTAAAAAGTACAACTCGAAAGAGATGTTTGAACTAACACTCCTTCCCACCGGTTTTGTTTAGAACAAGGGACAAGGGGGACTGGTCAACATGTATATATAATACTCCTTCTGTCCCAAAATAATTGTTTCAACTTTGTACTAGCTCTAATAAAGAGTTGTACTAAGCTTGAGACACTTATGGCCGTATGCATCGTCTAGACGCAGAGGCCGGGAGTATTCCTCCTTTTCTAAAAAAATAACTAAGTTTGAGACACTTATTTTGGAACGGAGGGAGTAGGATTTTGATACACATCTTGCCAGCGCAGTTGAAGTTGGTCATACCAGGAAATTGCCACCCATCTTCCTACAAGTTGCCACAATGATTAGCAGTAGAAGCAGCTATCGCTTGAAGTGTTTTCAAGGGATAGTTGCAGTACATGACCCTGTCTTGGTAAGACTTTGTATAAAAGAAATGTTATCCAGGTGAACAAGCGACGAAAAACAAAAGCAAATTGACCCTTAGATTAGTCTGTATAATTCTTGCTCCAATTTCTGAAAATGTGCGATATCTAACAACTAGACACAATTTTTGAGATCACCAACCATTCAATCCACTGAGTGCCTTAAATTTTAAGTAGTGGTCAATTCTTCGAGGAGAATAAGACCCCGAAGGCACTCAACTTGTCCATGCTGATGCAAGTTTTAGTGAGGCGCTATTTGCCATCTAAACTGGTTTCAAAAGCTTGGGCCCTGAGCCTGCAAAGGAACATGGTCTTCATTGTTAGTGTTCTAACCTTTTCTTTATCATAATAGAAATCCTCAAGAACATAATGACATGCTAGCAATTAGTAGTAAAAATTGCATGTGACCCATACGCATCTACTCCCTCCGTCCAGAAATACTTGTCATCAAAATGAATAAAAGGGAATGTATCTAGACGTCTGTTATTAAACATATATACTTTGTGGATTATAAAACCAGAATTTAGTAAAAAAGAAAGGAGGGATTTAGCACTTTGTGTCAGCATGCGGAGAACGAACCAACTAATGAAAGCATCTCTCCCGCAGCAAACCACCGGTAAAATGCATAGACAAGTACACATTGACAGATACGTCTGAACTACGGAGTAATTGACACTTTGTGATGTTCCTGTTACCAACTGGTTCGCTTTACAGCAAGGTTAACTGACAACCAACATGCCTAGTACTAATACTATATAACTAGAGTTGTACTACCACACATCTACAGTCCAGAGCTCTGTACATACACACGCACACTGACCAGTTCCTGCCAGTAGATAACTACAGCCAAATTACAACTAAATTAGTCGGTTGAGGACACACCGCTGGTCCGATTTCTGAGGAAAAAGACAGGCATACTGACGAAATTCCGGACATCTGTCGAAATAGACAGGTGAAAACGTCAATATATTATGCGAAATGATTCCCTTCAACAAACTGATTTTACGGAGTATTTAACCAAAAACTACCACAATTCACGGAACCGTGACGAAAAACTACCACTTTACGATTTTGTCCCGAAAACTACCACTTTTTTGCTAATCTATGACTAAAAACTACCATGTGTGTAAATCAACAGATTCATCCATTTTAAACACGTTTATGATAGACCTGGCCCGCATGTAAGTGCTGCTCGCCGGCGCAGGGGGTGCGCGGCGGAGCTGCTGCTGCTCGCCGGCGCGCGCGGGGAGGGGGGGGGCGTGCGCGGGGG